ATATATGCAAGAATGGGAAATATTGAAAATTCGACGACAATTATTGCACAATAAAAAACAATGATGTTAAGAAACTGATTTCAAAGTCAAATATAGAAAAAAAAATACTTTGAAAAGTTTTGTTTAGTGTAAACTCAACATTATTATTTTTAGAATTTAATATTTTTTCATTAGCGTCTACTACAATGATAAATCTCATGCTAATAAATAGTGCTATATTAGAGACAAAGCTGATAATATGAAAATCCTGACTGAATGAGCGGATGAGATTGAGGCATCCTTGTCAGAATCTCAATGTTCTGATTATAATTTTGGATCGAATCAAGAAAAGATTTTGACGTCCGCTCGTCTCATTCATGAAAAGCAAAGTGATCGAAAGCTTGCATAATATCATTCATTGAAACTTGATTACTTTGCTCAACAGAGTCATCTGAAAACGATCGACGATCACCTTTTTGTTGAGATGATTTCGACCAATGAATACAGACAAATCATGTTAAATAGTTGTCAACGAATTTGTGGAGTAAAAATGAACGACGATTGTCCATTCCAAGTAATTAGTTGTTGTTAGTTGTCAAACTTCGTAGAGTCTTAGTGGTCTGTTTGATTTATCTTGATGTTGAGGTCGTTGAAATTGTTTGATGCTAGCCAACTGCATAAGTTCAAGTTCTATTGACGTTAACAATTTTGAGTCGATGAATATCGGATGAAAATATAACTGGCATTTTTATTCCAGCTGAAGTTCTGAAAATTTTCGTGTAGTTTATTTTCGCTATTGTTCTCAAGAGGATTGATTTTTGTTGATACGATCGAAATAGTGTGTGTCGCTCGAGTGACAATTCACTGGTCGTCTTTTAACCTTTGTTTCAATGATTATTTTCATCGAATTCGAGCAATACCATACTTGACCAATCATCATGGTAAGCGTTTCTATTCATCGAGTAATTGTATATATTCGATTGATCTGCCTTCTAATTTTTAACAGATTGACAATCAAATCTTCTGATTTAGAGATCAGTTGTGCAGTATGAGTGTGGTAGTAGGTGTTACTGTGCATGTGAATGTTACTATTCTCTCAAACACACTCATATATACCACACAATTCGAGATATTTGCTTATTGTGATGCTGAAAAGCTGCATTTTTACGGTATTTTCTACAACGATATTGTGATTCCCTTCAGAAGCATCAGAAGACTTAGTTTTCGAATTTCGATTTGACACTCTGTATAGAGACAGATCTTAACAAGAGTAGTTCATTGCGAAAGTTTCAGTCCTTTTCCGTTGTTCATATCCTAAGAATTGTCTATGGTAAAAGAGCGTTTTTCGAAAAATAAATTGTTATTGTGAAGACCACACTGCTATCATGGTAATCATAACTGATTAGGATTTACACGGTGCATATAATCCTGAATCCAAAGCGATGAATCACTTGAAAGACTTTCCTCGTAAGATATCTGTCATTCTATGGTGGGAGTTCAAATTCCTATTTCTACACTTCGACATTCGTTTTAGATTGTTTTTCACAAAATTGACGACAAACAAGAAGTTATTTGAATTTCTTAAATCATTCCTGATCTCCTAGTCGAATATTTGCTGCAAACTTATTTTTAAATTGAAGTTGTCATTCTTTGTTTAATTCAAAAGAAAAATATTTTCCGTATTATTTGTGTTTCTTATGCAAACTTATTTTTGATGTTGTTTTTTTTCAAAAAACTTAATATAACTTTCTTGAAATATGAAAGAGCAACAATAAATCACTCGATTTTTTGAATATTGACTCATTGAAAAAGGCATTCTTTCTTTTGTAATACTATATATCAGATAAAAGAAAAGAAAAGAAAAGAAAGAAAAGCTACTTGATCATAAAAACAAACAGTATTTTTGGTGTTTTTTTCTCTTCTCTTTCTTTCATTGCATCAACCAGATATGAGTGAAAATGAGTATGTATACGAAATTATCAACAACGAAAATGATGCACGTCTTTGTGCTGAACTTATCGCTGAAGAATTTTGTACATGTAATCCTATTACGGTATTTGATAAAATAACATCAAAATGTTTTTTTAAAAACTGTTCATGGCCGTTAATTAAAGACATGTTTGATGAACAATTATCATTTCTGGCGAGACATCGTTCGTCCGGTGAAATTATTGGTGCTGTTTTTGCTGGTGATTTATATAAATATCATCATAGACATCCATATGATGCTTGTAGTCCGCCGAGTGTGATTCCAGTTGGTGATTTACTCGATGAAATGGATAATCTTTTTATTTCACATGATTTTGGACAAGAATTAAAACCTAATTTCGTTTTACATATAACAGTAGCTGCAATTCGTGCACAACATTCAGGTAAAGGTGTAGCTAGTCAATTGCATATAGCTCTATGTAATTATGCAAAAAATGAAAAAGGATTTAAATATGCTCTTGTTCAAGTAACAAATCAAGCAACACGACATATTTATGTGAATAAGATGGGTGGAAAAGAAGTGACAATTGTTGATCCAACAACATGGATATGGGAAAAAAAGAACAGTAAACAATTATTATATCCTTATAAAGATTATAAACATGGATCAATACCGCATATCCTTATTGAATTGAAATTTGATTGAAATAAATCTGTTTTTTTTTCTCATAAATCATTATTGTCTTATTAAATTCGTTATAAATATTTAATCGATCAATTTCTTAATAAGAATTTAAACAATCATAATTTTCCACGAATAGATTAAAATAAATTTTCAGTATTTATTCGCTCATGTGCTGTAGATATAGTTTCGGTAGCTGTTATGATCATAGATAATGTACAAAAACTGAATTTTATTACATTACTGTCATTGTAGCTTCTCAGACAATGATCGAATAAATACAAAAATTTTGTCTTCAACAGAAAAAAAACTTGATAAATAATTTTTTTAATAGGTCTCCTGCCTAATTATGAATGAAGCATGAACAAATGAAATCTTAATTGTTTGTTACTGTAGATTACAGTACGATTAATGACATACTGTGAAAAACTGATAAGAGCATTTATTTCTATTTGTATTTGTATTAATCGATGTAAACATTATATAAGATATAGTTGTTGTCTTCAAAAATAAAATCAAATAAACGAGTTATAAGATACTAGATGAGTCAATATTATCTTCTCTTAATCGATATTTAAGAAAAGTATTCTATTTATTTTGCTT